CAATAAAATTCATCACCACCATGGTGATAATTTTTTAGGCGTATTTCCTTCCGGCGTATTGGATGATCTCTGTCTTAGTCTTTGTGTATTTAGTTGCTTGTTGTGGTCCTATGTCAAAGATGAACCCCTCAAGCGTAGAAAGTCTTAAAATGTCACACACTGTTAACTGGATAAAACTATAAAGAATGAGAATTCTCTTAAACTACTCTTTTTAGGGTATGTCGATTCACCCCAGATCATTTTCTCAATGTCACTCGCTTTTTCTCATTCCACACCTATTTACCATATATTGGTGATGCCACGTCACCCCTCATCTAAATATTTATTTCGCTGACGTCCGTTATGGTTCTCCCGTGCTCGCTCTCCAGGTTCCTATTCTTCCAACAATTAGTAGCACGTGGGGTTAATTCTTAATAGGGCATATTACTAGTACTATGTTCTTGGTACAGGACTGGTGTACTACTAGTAGTAGTACAGACACATAAACATACTGGTAATATTTATACTATTAGTACATTAAAATATTAGTATATTGAAATCATATATAAAAATGGGACTAGTACAAAATGTACACATATTAGTTTGAATTTGTGATCAATATTGATCACAAAAAACTCATCACAAATTTGTTATTTCTGATCACATTTTTTTGTGATCAAAACTGATCACAATTTTTGGTACGATTAGGGGGGCCTGGGAATCTAATTGTTTTCCAAAAAATTGATATGGACATGGTTCCTGGAAAATTTAGGATTTTTTTTTGCTGCTACTACTACACTACTACTCCACTTATCACACCCCTCTCATCGTCACTATACACAATATTATAAGAATATATTTTAACAAATATAAATATATTCATTTATAACACATCACTACACTTGATGTTTGAAGTTACTCCAATGCTCTTTACATACAGCAACAATGCAACTTCTGCAACCATTCCTTGACATTTTTATACTACTAGAGACTACTAGTAGTAATCCATGCTGGCAACTTCCTCAATCTCTTCACTGATGAGTTAGGATACCTATGATTTGCTTCTTCTACACAGATAACACAATAGTTCCTCTTTACTCCTTCATACTTGCCACTGTATCTTTCTTTATGTGGCTTTGAACTACCTTTCCATGAGCAATGGTGCTGGTCTTCTTGTTCACACAGAAGAAGAAACAAATCCTGCAATTGCAAGGGTGATATTTTCCATTCTTTGAAGTCTGAGGCATCCACTCTGGTGGCTTACTAGAACCTTCATCATATGGAGCTTTCCAGTCCATTTCAATACCTCTATTCATCAATGCAATGCCAAGATGAGATTGAAACTTGTTTTGATTTGTATATCTTCTATTCCTTCATAAACTCGTCACATGCTAGGCTAGTGATAATTATGTGGCAGGAGTGTACCACTCTATCAAGCAACCAGAAGAAAATACAATGGTACCATCTGATACCCATCTGTATTCTTCATATAGTAGCTTGGTCACAACTTTTATTGTAGTATAGAAGTTGTCTGTGAGTCAACAACCATTTTGTTGTCCAAGATTGGATTGACGTACCAACTGCTGAATAGTATCCCATGTAGACCCACTACTAATACCAGTGTAGATCTCAAATGCAATTAAGTTCCCAGTGTCAGCATCATACACACAGTGCACCTTAATACCATGCTTGATTGGCTTCATGGGAAGATACTGGACAAATTGAATGGATCTTTCTTTGTAAACAACAATCATAGACTCATCGCATGCCACCCAAGACAAAGACAATCAGCAATTTTCTCCATCACAGTAGTACGATTTTGTTGAGTTTTATCAGTAGCATTAGCTTTGCTTCTGCTGTCACCAAAATGAATATATCATTTAACAAAGCTGTATCTGTTCTTGCTCATTGTATTCCTGACCATGGGAACATACCACACACCACCATCCTCAAGACAAGTCCAAAGAATTTGGGGAKATTGTTTTGAACCACCCAAACCTCCATAGCAGATGCAAATACCAAGCCAGGCAAGGATGTAACCAGAAGTGAAGTTGCATTGGTCTTTGACTGAAAGTAGAACACACTTTTGTTTGTTGGGATTGGTGACATCACAGACCTTGAGCATCTTTGTCTTCTTTACCCTTCCATTAGTAGCATCAGCAGCTTCAACTTCTGTCACCCAATCTTCAAACGCATACCACCAGTTGGACTCATTTGCTACTATCATCTGAAGGATTTTTCATCAAACAAGAACAAGAACAAGAACAAACACTCCAACCCCTCCACCTTATTAGTGCAGCCATCCAATGATTTGCTTACAGCAGGGGCGTGACCTGCTGGGGTGGTCGCACCTCCTCAAGGTGATGTAGTATACTTGTGGACATTGGGAGGAKGATACCAAGGGACACCCATCATACTTTTTGATGATCAGATATGGGTCCATGGTCATCTTGGGAGGGGCTCCTACTAGTACTATGAGGGTGCAGACCACCACCACTGCTCTTGTCAGATAGGTCTGCATCATTCTCAGGAGTATGACCATAGTACGAACAATTGTTGTCAACCAGCATCACACACCAGAAAAAGAATCATCATCACCCTTTGTGAGATCTCTATCCATTTGTGTTTCCTTGCCAAGACCTTGTGTTTCCTTCAGCTTGATTGCAGCAATTAAATTGTTCAATTCAGGAGATAGGGTTGGGTTCTTACCACCAGCACCATGGTGGTGGGGACCAATTCCTTCTTGAATCACAGCAGTCCACTTAAATTGTCTACTAGCATTTCCCCACTCATGGCCTGCCCTTTCACGCAACATTGATCCATGGCAACACCACCAGCTTCTTCAATGTGTACATGCACTTTGAGACCAATTTCTATCCATCATTAGATGTCAATTGTTAGGTGTTGGTTAGTTGGTTAGTTGGTTCGTACGTACTTCGTAAGTATGTACGTATGAATGCACATAGTACTTTAACAGATAACGGTTCGCACTTCGCACCCGCCAAATGCCCGTGGTTTTTCGCATGACCCATCGAGGACAAGCAAGAGCGGGCGGGACACCCTGTCACACAAAATCGTCGAACACACTGCACCACATCCCCAAAAGTGTCAAAGAACGTTTCGAGCTCTGTCAACGGCAACAGGATGTGCCCCAACCAGACTGTACGGTACGTACCGGTACGGTAGCTATTTACTCGTAGGAAATACAGTAAGTTTATTTGGCACCTGTTTGTTCAATAAAAGAATCAGCTCGTTCCAGGGGGTTAAAACAACAAGGTTGCGATGGCGTTTGATAGTGCCTTGCCGTACAACCCAGTACAATACGGCAACTCTTACTTTACCAGAAGTTCGTAGCGTACTCGTGCAAGAGTAGGAGTAGTACTCGTACTAACGCAACGGTACCATAGCATAATTATAGCATAATTACAAACAGGTACAGTACAGTAGTAGTGTTTCTACTTCTGCTTTCGCTGTGTAGTGTACTGTAATACTTCTAATACGGACGAGAGTCGAGTCGTACCGTAGCTTCTGACATGCGACTACCGGTACATGCGATGCGATGCCACCAAAAAAACCAACGATGGTTCGAAGTTGCACTTCTAGGCATCGTACCGGTACTCGTACAAGAATAGCGTACTTCTGCCGTACGGCAGGTGCGAAAGAAACCAGGTGGGAGCTAAAGGCGGGCACAGGATGCACGTGAACGATAACGATAGTGATAACGCGAACACGAACATGAGCATGAGCATGAGCATGAACGACTACACCATTCAATTCAATTCAATTCCATCGTCGTCGACATCAACACCAACACCAACAGCAACATCAACAGCAACAGCAACATCAACAGCAACAGCAACAGCAACAGCAACAGCAACAGCAACAGCAACAAGGTTTCTCTTGCTATTGAAACCATCGAGTTACTATTACTGAAATCCTTCTATGCGTTTGGAGTCCTACGGCTGCGTCTTGTTTGAATTTCTGCAGCAAAGAAACAAAAACAGATACAGCTCGTTTTAGTATAGTTCAGTTCCGTTCCGTTTCGTTTCGCATCGTCTCGCGTTGCTCGATTCGATCCGATTCGATTCGATTCGACTCGGCTTGGTTTGGTTTGATTGAAACGTATTGCCGGAATCGCAGCATTCCAGTGGTTGGTGAGGACTGTTGTCGAGGGTGGAACAGTACCAAAGCGAGAACACCAGCCAGTGCTTATAGCACGTAATTAATAGCCGCAACAAACAACAAACAACAAACAACAAGCAACAAACAACATACTCAAACAACATCGTGCTCTCACTGTATCGTGCATCGTATCGCCGACCAGAACGAACCAAAGACTAGAACCAAACCGACTGTTTTTGACGCAGCGGGGCGATTGCGATTGCGATGACGATGATGATGTCTGCAAGTAACGATTCTAACGAGAGCGGCGCACCTGCTTCCACCAGCASCAGCAACAATTCGGTAGCGGCAGCAGCAACAGCAACAGCACCACCACTCCCAGCAGCAACAACAGGAACAGGAACAGGAACAGCAACAGGAACAGCAAACTCACTACCCGTGACTCTCGAACGAGAAGATGTTCTGCGGCTAACACAAAACAGCGAAAACAATCTCTCCGTTGCTTCAATGACGGATGCAAACAACGACGAGAGCTTTAACAGCAACAGGAACAACAACAGCAACAGTAACAACAGCAGCAACAACAGCAGCAACAACAGCAACAACAACAACAACAGCAACAACAACAGCAACAGCAACAACATGGTGGAAATGCAAGTCCAGAGCAGCACCGTTGGCAGCAGCAGAAACAGCGTCGATTTGAATTTGAATTCAAATTCGAACACGATATCGAACACGAACTCGAATTCTTCTTCTCCGGTCCGAGCAAGACCCAGCCACCGCAACAGCAACAGCAACAGCAACAGCAACAGCGGGAGGAAAGTGAAAAAGGCGGTCAGAAAAGAAAAACGATCTATGGACGCGGCGGTCGCAGCCGCCATTCAAAACTATGCGGGGGAATCGGAGAACGGAGAGAATTCTTGCCTGCGTCCGGATTCCGCTGCCGGTGAGAGCGAAACCGCAAACGCCGCTTCTGCGGGCATGGACAGGGACGCTGCCGTGGCCGGCGGCAGCAAGAAACGAACCCAGGCCTCGATTCGTAAGAAAAAGACCTCGAGCTCGGGTTCGGGTCCCGGTAGCGCCAGCGGAAGGGGCAAGCAAACACACCGCCGCCAAAAGACCAACGGCGGCGCCGCCGTGTCGGTGGTTTCTTCGCAGTCGCAGTCGCAGTCTACCAACCAGAGCGGCAAGAAAAAGAAGAGGAAAAAAAAATCATCGTCGGCATCGGTTTCGTCGTCTTCTGCCTCCTCCTCCCCCCAGCGTCGCCACTCTAGAACCAACGACAGCGACCGACAGGCCCCGGCGAATGCCTCGACGAATCTCCATCCACGCCAGCGATCCATCGATCGAACGGGGGCCGTAGCGATCTTCCCCTCGGGGACAACGGCACCGGAGCCGACCCCGTTTTCATCAAACATCCCGGTTGCTTCCGTTCACCTTACCCCACCACGTCCATCTCCGGCCTTTTCTCCGAGCATGATGGAGCAAGATATATTCGGTGATACCTCCGTCATCCACCGGGAGCCGCCGCCCTTGCAACCCCAATTTCCGACACCCGCAAGCAATGGAAGCAACGGAAACAGAAACAATCCCGACAGAAGCACCAGCACCAGCGGTACCATTTCTGCACCAGACGTCATCGTGAGGGCCCAAGCGATATCGAGCGAAGACTACTACGCCGAGGTTCGGCGCCGGATTCGAGAGGAGGAGTACGAGGCGGCGCGGCTCAGGATACGGACACAAAGAGGGAACCAGGTCGTGGTGCACGCGGTAGACGTCGTCCCGCTGCCCATGGTGGACAGCCAAGACGGCAACATCAGCACCATCACACCCGTCACCAACGGTGGTGCCGCAAGTGCTACTACCGCTGCGGTCGTTACCGCTAGCAGCACTACCGAAATGAGTGGAAAGGAAGACGCTTCTCGCACGAGCTACCCTTGGACCGGGAACTTCGTACCTCGGGAGGGCCAGCGGCGATGGCTGTGGTTCGGACTCTTTGGAGGTGGAATCGCATGTCTTACCATTTTGGTGCTGACGGTAGTGCTTACCACCGTCCTTAGCAACCAGAGCAGCGTGAATTCCGATGATTTTCACAACAATCGAAGCGATGATTACGATGACGACGACCTGTCCCCGGGTACGATACTAGTCGGCAAGGACGACGACAACTACAGCAACGACGTAATAGCCACCATGAACAGCCCGGTGGGAAAGCTTGTTGGCAGCGTTTTGCCGAAATCGTCGCTGGAGAGCATCAAGGCCAATTTCGAGGGGCCACAATTCAAGGCCTTTGCATATTTGGTCGACAACGATCAATACCTAGGGTTGGGGCTCGGCGATGCCGGTGGCAAGGACAACGACGCCGAAGAAATATACCAAAAATTGACACCCTTCCAGCAAAACAAGATTAAGACCGTCTTTTCCCTTGTCACGCTCTACCACTCCCTGGACGGAAACAAATGGCACACCCGCGCCAATTGGTTGGATCCGACGAAGGACGTCTGTGACTGGCAAGGCGTCAATTGCAAGAACGAATTGGCGACCCAGGATTACGCCGCCCAGAATGACAAAGCCGGTGCTAGCACCGCAACCACAAAAGACTCCCTGGATGTCCGAAAGCCAGACGGTGTCACCGGCTCTAAGGAAAAGGAAGGTTTCGACTACAGAAGAGAATTGCGGTGGCAAGCCAATCCACAATTTTTACAGGTGCCACCACAACGACTACGAATGCTGCGCAGCACAGATGACAGCAGGGACGGTGCAGAATCCAGTGGTTCGAGAACCAGGGAAATTATGACGAAAGAACGATACTTAGAAGACTCGGTGTATGCCGGGATTGGCGATGAGGAAAGCCAAAATGATTTTGACGACGTTTTATTTATGTTCGATGATGCCTTTTTAGACGAGTTTGACAATTACGACAAAACGGATCCCGACGAATACCTTGAAGACACCATCCCCATTCGCAGCCTGGAACTGAACTTTAACAATCTTGTGGGAACCCTGCCCGACGAAGTGGGTTTGTTATCGAACGTCTACGAACTTATTGATCTGGGAGGAAACAAAATTTCCGGGTCGATTCCGTCCACCTTCAAGATGCTTTCGAGACTCGAGGGGCTGAACCTGAGCGACAATATTCTTACTTCGATCTTGCCCTCGGATCTTGGATATATGAGGTTTATGCGGAGGTTCGATGTTTCTGGGAACCCCGGGATACACGGCATTCTACCCTGGTCGTTTAAGTTCTGGATCAAAATTGGTGCGTAACAAAGCAAAGCAAAATAAAACAATGGACAAATATTTTTGTGCCATGAACAAACAGCGCAAAAATCGAAAGATGGAGCGAGGTGATTCCTTTTTTCGCACAACCCCTGATCCGTTGCTGCTTCTTCTTCTTTTGTTACGAAAACACAAATGTCTTGATCGTAACCACCTCAACAAAATGAATTGCTATTAATTCAAAAGACGAACTCTCGATTCATGGCACCGGCCTATCGGGAGTCGTTCCAATTGAGGTATGCGACATGGTCCAAAGCCGGAAGAAAGATACCGAAAACCCACTGTCATTTCGAGCCTCGTGCCCCTTGGCTATCGAATGCCCCTGCTGTACGGAGTGTTGCAACAAGGAAAAAGAAAGCGACTTTGACTACAAGTGCAAAGCAACCGATCCGCCAGACCCCTTTGGGTTCTAGCCCAGTGCAATGTGATGAGATGCAATACAGTGCCAGGTGTTGATATTTTGTCCGCGTTCTGCCTCTATTTATGAATGCTCCAAAGGCTACTACAAAACCCTTTTGGTGGGATATCCCCCCCAAATGCTCCTTTTCGATTCCCTTGCACCACGCCGTGCAACACTGTACAGCACATTGTTCATCGAAATAGGGCACATGATGGTGTGAGAATGAATGATATATGTACGTTAGAACCTTGTGTTGTCCATCAAATCAACGGGGTTAAAAACATTTGTTCCATCCAACTAGCGAAAGACGAACCTACCAAGCATGATACGGATTGCTGTCTTTCGACCGATTCGTGCAAATCGCTTGCGTGGCATCTCCTGATGGAAATTCAAAAACTACTGGTTGGAACGCCCTATCGAACTAACTTCGAGTCAAGTTTCAGGAATATACGGTATCTGCACCGAATCTGGGGCAAAGAAGAATCTAATCAGCTGTAGATGACTGATATCTGGATTGTCTTTTGTCTTTGAGAGAAGCAAAGCAAGCACGAAGGCTCTTTGCTCGATTTCTGTGACCTTGATCAAGGCAGGATTTCCGAGAGAATCCGTACTTACTACAAGTATTCATTTATTACAATGTTATTCCATTTTTTACTAGCGCAGTACATTTTCATTTTTCTACACCCTTCGTCATCCCAAATCTGTGGTGTAAACAAGCTCTGGTGACAACTCTCGTTCGTTTTAATCTTCCAGGGCCTACGAACACAGTTGATTTCATTCTCCTGTGCGGCTGAAATAACGAATCATCATGTACAAGAAGGATGCTAACAATCAGAACGTTGAGCCTGACACTCGGAAAAATTAACTTCAGCACTACTAATACCAGAAAACTAACCTAAATCCCAGAGACTATGCATCAACCCCATTGTTAGGACTTAGTAAACCTTTCATCACAAACCTAAAACCCAATGGATGATCCAGCAGAGTGTTCAGATCAAGTGAGACTTTTCAAGTGAGTTGACCACAGGATCCTTTGATTTTGATTGTCTTTGGCTCCTCGTGTGCTCATTTAACCAATTGTTTGTTGTTATTTGCTGTTTGTGAGGTCACTTATGAGAGCGTGATCCTGTTTGTACTATCATGTTCTTCCAGTGAATCCAATGGGAGAAAAGTCATTTCTGATATTGTTCATTACGGATGAACATGTTATTGAAGACGTGATTTGAGCCTACTGTAATACAGGCACAATGCTTGTACAAGAGAAACTTCTGGTCATTCCTATGTTTTTGTCTTTCAGCAATGTCGGAGACTGCCCTTGGATCACCATCATGCCACATTTTAATTCTACTAGCTGAAGCAGTAGTGCAACTGCTTGTGTTGTGCCTGTTCAATGAAACAATTACTATCACATTAGCAAGGTCTTGCTCTTAGTCTGCACCCTGTTTTGATCGGTCAGTGACAATAGTGCTTTCATACAAGTTACATATTAAGTCAACAACATACAAGCCATACATGTACTCCATCTTTTCATACACCATACTCAGATAATATATATATACACACATAGAACAATATGAAGGGACCATTGTTTTGTTTTTGATATGGGGACTATAGTCTTTCAGTGCTGGAGCCTCACCATATTGAATATAGGATTGGGAGTGATCACAGCAGAAGAGTGAGGGGCAATCAGTGTGAGAACCAAACTCAAACTCCAGACAATTTCCTGTATACGTGAAACCATTCGTACTCGCAGCTCGTTATCCTTTTCTTCTACGGTGTTGTTGGCTTTCCCTTGCCATAGCGAAATGGGAATTCCGGACTGTATCAGAAGCATTCTCCACATTCCAAACCACGCGTGAGATGGCAACAAGCAAGACAACTACTACAACAATGGTCGAAAAAGTACCACAAAGAATCGTTCTCCATTTGCGTACTATGGCCAACAACAACTCTTGGTTGCTCGGGTGAGCGAGAAAAAAGAAAAACATCACTTCACTCGCCATGGCTCCCTATCACAACGGCATTGAACGACAAACACACATCCCATAAATTTTATGGCATGATGCACACGCGCTTAGAATTGCACTCGCACTCGCACTCGCATTGTCTTCCTTATAATCGCAAGACCTTGCTTTTGATTCCATTCTTATCACATGTTAAATTTTTTTAGTTGAGCACTATTGAAAGGTACCGTGCAAGTCTGTATATATATATTGTAGCCCTTAGTCTCCGCAAACAACTGCGCTGGAATTGAGCGTGATTTGATTTGATTTGATTTTCGATCCCGGAATGATTTCCTCTCGTTCCTTCTTATATCGTTCTGTTGTGCGTGCAGGTGCTGTTGCACTTAATAAACCTCGACATGCCACTGGTGGTTGGCCTTGTACTTCTTGAGGGTTTCCGCCCAGTCCATTCCGGAGGCGGTTGCCACCTCCTCCAGCGCTTCGAGAATACCCGGCATCATGCCCCGGAGACCGCAAAAGTAGATGACCGCCCCGTTTTCGAGGCGTTCCATCAGCTCCCCCGCGTTTTCCCGGAGGACATCCTGAACGTAGAGCTTGCCTCCGGATGCATTTGTCATTTCCCGGGAAATCGCGTAGTCGATACGGAGTGACGGTGTTGGCTCTGGTACTTGTACCGACGTCCATTCGTGACTCGGGATCGGTGTTGGGTTTTGGTTTGCAGTTCGCAGCATGGCGTCGAACTCGGGCTTGTACAAGAGGGATCCACTGGTAGGAACTCCGAGGATAAGCCAGGCCTTTCCGTTGCCCTTGAACATGTGGTTCGCCGGCGTGTGCTCTGTGAACAGACGGTGAAGAAAGCTCCGAAAGGGGGCGATCCCCGTTCCGGTGGCTACCATGATTAGGTCCACTGATCCCGAGTGGGCATCCTTGTCGCTGTCGCTGTCATTGTCGCTGTCAAACGCCGGGAGCAGCATCGTCTTGCCGACAGGACCAGCCACACTGACTTTCTGTCCGGGCACTGCGTCGCAGAGAAATCCCGAGCATACCCCGGCCTTCGAGGGGTCGACCTTCCCGGTGGCAGGATCGGTGTACTCGGCCCGCCTCACGCACAGACTGACCGTGGTTCCATCTAGCAGGTCCCCGTACCTCGTCGAGGCGATGCTGTACAGACGAGGTTTGTGCGGCCTACCGGTGGAGGGGTCGGTGCCGGGGGGGATGACACTAATGGACTGTCCCTCGACGTAGCGAAAACCCTCGGGAAGGCGAAGCACGATGTGCTGGATGTCCCCGGGAGCGTCGGATTCGATGAGCGGGGTGCGTCCCAGAACGGTCGCGGTGACCGGCGACTTGGCAGTGCAAAATGGTGGTGGAACCGGGCTTGTCTTTGAGCTCGAGCTCGAGACCGAGTCTTCTAGCCAGCACTGGGCGGCATGGAGCATCTCTGGAACGGCTAGGTTGGTTAGGTTCGGATTTGCATATGCATATGCATATGCATTTGCATTCGCATTTGCATTTGCATTCGCAGGGTACCCGTACCCGCCATTCACGCTTCCCTCAAAGTCAAAATCTTTCCCCATCGCCAGGCGCTCCTCTAGGCTGAAGTCTCCTTCCATTCCCCGCATGCCCTCGCTGGCGGGGTCCCAGAAGGAGTCCCGATCTCCGCTGGCGATCACGGGGACTCCACCCCCTGCCTTTTTTACGCGGTCGTTGTTGCTTCTGGGGCTGCCAGCGCCGCTCCCAAAAAGCATTGTAAAGCTGCGCATGTCGTGACTTTTCTTGCGACCGAGCATGCAACTATTGCTGCTGCAGCAGCTACTGTAGTTTTTCTTTTCCTTGCCCATCAGCCCTGGGCCCGCAAAGGCGTCCACCCAACAGAAAAGAAGAGCCAATAGGAGGACGAAGCGAATCACACCAATCGATGGGGGGTTCATCGTTTTGGAATGGAATGGAATGGAATGGACTTGACTTAAAGTAAAGAGGGGTGATGTGCAATGCGATTTTAAATACCAACTCCAATCTGATGCTGGCGTGTATCGTATCGTATTGTATTATACTGTATTATACTGTATTATACTGTATTATACTGTATTATACTGTATTGTATCGTATTGTATCGTATTGTATCGTATCGTATCGTATCGTATCGTATCGTATCGTATTGTATTCTCTCGACTTGCTGACTCTAGATGAGGAGATGAACGCGTGGAGCAGTCACTGCTGCTGCTGCTGCTCCTTCTGTTGGCTCTGATATCGTCCAGCGACAGATGCAATACTCTTACTGTATGGATGGCCACTAAAGCATTCCGTTATGATTTTTTCGTACGAATTCAAGTTTTTCAAAAAGAGAAGAAAAAAGAAGATACTGTTACCTTCGCTTCGGGATGAGTTCGTTACTCGTCACGTGCTCGTTCTCTCACAGTACTTAAGGACGTACTGTATTGTACGTACAAGGTACCGTAGAAGTTTCGTCCGTGGCACAAGTACAAAAATGCGCACCAATGCAACTTCTTCCCGCAGATGTTTTGGCACATCTGCCGCGGTTTCTTTCGACTTCGACGTTTTGGTTGTGGTTCACAAAAATCATGACATCCAAAAAATAAAAGTGGAAGTCATACCGAAGTGCTACCGTACAATTACAGTACCGGTACGTACTGTATGTACTTGTTTCTGTTTCCCTGGCTGGGGTGTACGAAGTACAAGTAGAAGTACGAACTACAGAACTTGAACGGGTACGGGTACAGGGGTCTAAATTATGACCCCTGTACGGGTTACGGGTACGGGTACGAGTACTATGTAAGTAACAATCTCGTTTCTTCCCGCTGCACAGTATCGTATGAGACCGTACAGGTACGGTAACGACAGTAGGAGTACATACGGTACTTCTTCTACTTCACGTTCTTCCCAACACGACCATGCCCCCCCGGCCGCCCATCCATATGTCTGTGAGAGCCATAGTCGGTACGGTACTCTCGTACTACTACATTATAGCCCAGTTTCGCTCTTTCTGTCATCACACCCTTCCGATGACCCAGATGATCCAGGGGCATTCACAACGAAACTGATGTTTGCCACCTGCCCGAGGAACCCCACAATACCGGTACCGTAGTACGTACCGGTACCGTACCTCACAATACGAAAGGGATTTTCTAAGATTCCCAACACCTTTTGGACCACTGCAAAATCGTATCCTACCGTACTCGTACTGGAATTGTACTGGAGACGAAGAACCCAAGAAAAAGTAGCATACCGGTGCCACATACAGATTTAGATGTAGCTAATAGCTATTCATCCCGACTTAGATGCCGTTATAGATAAGAAAGACTCAGAAAGCAATGTTCACCGATCGTTTCCTTGCCGCTCTAGCTGTTCTCGCAACAGCATCCCAAGCCGCAGAATTCTCTCAAATCGCCGGCGACTTGGGCGAAGTTACAGAAATCGATATTTCTCCAGTATGCAAGGGATTTTCTCAGATTCCCAACACCTATTGGACCATCACTCCAGCAACTGATGTAGCGGTCTTCACATATCCCGCAAATCTAGTCGAGGTTTCCTCGAGCGGGGGAAAACTCTCCTTTTCCTTCAACATGAGTGTCGCCGAAACAGCAATCGATGGCGCAGGGGTTCGCATCGCCGTCCCGGCCGGTCAGCTCAATAATGTGCACGTGGGCGGGGGGACATCCGCCCAGGTCCTCGACGGTTTTGAAGCCGTCTCCGGGCTGCATGCGAGCGGTGCTTCTACGCTCACCGCAACTATTACCACGAATGGGGTCCCAACTTCGGTCCAAGCCGATGGGGCCTCCACGGTGACCCTCGTGTCCAACGCTAACGTCTCCGGAGGCACCATCAATGGTGCTTCGACGGTTGTTGCCAAAACTCCTTCCTACGAGTCTTTCACGGTCAATGGTGCTTCGTCGCTCTCCATCGACGGAGGCATCGGTGGATCTGGAACGCTCAATGGTGCTTCCACGGTCACCGCCACGGGCGACGTCGCTGCTGGATCTCTGACTCTCAACGGCGCTAGCACGGCCAACCTTGCCACGTGCAATTCCGTCACCAGTAACGGGGGTTCCAGCTGCAACTCCGGCTCTCAGTCGGTCTCGGTCGAAATATCGGAGCTCCCCGAAACCGCCACGGGCACGGGAACGTGCGTTCGCGACATTTTGGGTTCGATCTTTGGTGGGAGCGCTGGAACCACCATAGGCGTTAACAAAGTCCAGATGTTCGCGCCAATGTTCTGCGCTTTGCTTTTAAGCTTGTGGACAAAGCAAATCTGTTGGAGACAATAAACGCACGAATGACGTAACACGATTCAAATCAGAAAGTCTTTAAGAGAAATTAGGAATTCAGTTCTGGGTAATCACAACACGAGGGAAAACAGCAAACAGAGAGAGAAACCMAACATTTAGACACAGAGAGACTAAGCTCACTTTCTATTAGTTCAATCTACTTCAACAACATTTACCTCTACTTACACATTCACCATTCAGTTAAGTAGTAGTCGCGTAGGCGTTGGAATCAACAAAACGCTTTCGTACACTAGTAGGAGGGAATTACGAGTGCGAGTTCTTTCAGTAATAGAGGGGAAATAATGCCTACTGAGCTACCCAATATCGTCCGTCGTACAGCAATCTTTTTCGAAACTTTCATTTTTGTCAGAAACAGCAAGTTACAGTATCGAATCGATGGCATTGTGAGTAGTGGCAGCATATGCGTTCTACTATGAAACAAATCAAAGGGCTGCGATAGCAAAAGTCCGCCTTCTGACGAAAGAAGGAAAGCTAGTTATCTTCCATTCGTATGACGTTTCTGATTATCAAAGTCTTGCGAGTAATCTATTTCGTAGGTTTCTTTTCCTACTGAATGAGAGCAACGATTAGACCACAGCCTGAGTTTGTGTTATGAAGGAAGTCGAATCGGTTTCGTTCGCAAACGGATTCGCTTTCTATTGCAATGATCAAGATGGAAAGTGGGAAGAAGCTGACGTACGATGCGTTGCGTCATGGGATAGGTTACAAACGCGACCAAAAACATACTACATGTATGCAATGCCACAGATCTTGATGCGAAAGTATCAAATGCAAATGCATGAACGCAAATTTTTGCACAAAACATTACAATAACAGCCTCGAGTAAGAAGCGGTGATTCGCCTATTGCTTCATCCCTCACTTCTGGCATCTTTGAAGTTCCCGATAAAATTGTATCCTTTCGGTTTGTTTTGCCAAAACTAACTGACCAAGATTGATGGCGTGTTTGTCGACGCCACCTTCTCGATTGCCGTCCAGCGGTCCTCCAACGCGGCGAGTTTGCGTTTGGCGTCTTCCTCCTTCTGAAAGTAGCTGGCCGTGCAGCGATCGTACAAAACTAAATCGTATTCCATATACATCTTGAGAACATTTTGGGCGAGTCCCTCAACGGTTGCATTCCAGTGCCCGCTCGAGTTTTTGTAGAGAGGCCCGTAGATAATGGGCAGGACGGCCTGGGCGTTCAGGCGCGAGAGGCATCCCGAATTGACCAGGTGCTCATTATTCCACAAAAAAAGGGCCCGTTCGACCACCTGGAAGTGGTCCGAATCGAGGCAGCGAGCCAGGTTTGTAAAGAGCATGTCAGAAACCTGGGCAAGCTGATCAGCACCGAGCAATTCCAGGATTTCTTCTAGTTCGTTTAGAAACATGACCTGCTTTCCCGAGGAGGACCACGGCCAGCACTTGAAGAATCCATTGAGAATAGGTGTGGCAGTGTCTGCGTCCTTTTCGACGTACTGAATGATACAGTAGGAGAGCTGCTGGTGGTAGAGGGCGACGCACTTGGGTTTGTGCAATGGAATAAGAGCGCGCACTAAAAACTGCAAGTGTTCCTTTTTGAGGGGAATTGCGAAGCCGTTGATGATGCTTCCAAGAATCTCGAGAAGCTCGCCAATCCCGTTGTGGCGCTCTGTCTCGTAGACGAACCGGTAGAAAACATTGGAAATGGCCCGTCGGATGAAGGATCTGTGGGACATAAATTTTCCGTATATACGGTGGAGGATCGTCTTGAGGTAGTCTCGTTCCCGTGGATCTTCCGAATCGAAGAGTTCCACCAACTGGAGACAGAACTTCTGGTCGACGTACTTCTTCGCTGCCTTGGCATTCACTTCCGAGCTAACAATGAATCGCAAAAAGAATTCGTAAGCCACCTGTAGATGAGGCCAGGCAGGCTCCAAAACCGGTTCGTCTTCTTCCGGATCGAAGTCGTCAGTTGCCGGCGGCAAGGCCCGGCACACATTCGCTGCTACCATAGCCATCAGGTCACCCATAACTGATTCGGTGAATATCTTTTGACCAGCCGGGGTGTTAACGTAGTCCACCAGCTCCAGAAGAGTTTGACGCTTCATGTCCTTGCCGCGTTTGTCGGTCATGGGATCGTCGAAGGAAAAAATGACCGAGCAGAGCTGAAGCTTGAGGACGAAGAGTTCTTCTCGCTTCGCAGGAGGAGCGTCTCGAAGTGCGGGTAATTCCTTGAGGGCGGATCGATCGGCTCCTGGGTGTTGGACGTAGACCTTTTCGAGCTCGTTGCTCTTGTTAACAGAAGATGGTGATTTAGTGTTCGATGAACCACGTTTTGAGGAAGTGCTAGCATTTGTGACAATGCCCTCGTTTGGTTGGGTTTTGCTGTGTGCTGTAGAGGACGCATTATTGTTGTTTGTTGTTTTGTTGGTGGTAGCGTTGCTGGATCGCGCCGACTTTCCCGAGGGCTGGGTGGAAGTATTGTTGGACGAAGAGTCGTCGTTCTTGAGTTGGATCATATTCAATTCGAATGACATCGTAGAATCGCATTAGAATCAAAAACGATTTGTGAAAGAGGTTAGTGTTTAGTAGAAAAAGATTTCGAAGCGTTCCGTCGAACATTTCTTCGTCATTGGAACGCACAAATCACTGGAGGTTAAGTTATACTTCGTACATTGGAAGCTGCGATGCGATACAATGAATGCAACATAATGCGATGCCATCCGATTCTAGTCAATCACAGAGTACACACAATGACGAAACAGATATACTTCATTCCAAACGTAAGAAAAGGATGGCGTCGATGCGATAAGCTTCCATGTCGCTTCAATCCTTCCGCACGTGCGGGTCGGTTCTGTCCCACACCATCGTAGTAAGCTGCGTGATGCAGACGGCCAGGGGAGGTATGGCTAAGGCTTCAGTCATTCGTTTCATTGGTACGAGTATGAACTGGTTCAGACTGGTCTCGGGCGCAACTCGGTTCTGGGAAATTTCCTTGTTTTTTGCTAGTCGGTTGGCGTTGGCGTTGGATTGGTCGAATGGATCAGATCGGATCAGATCAGATCGGATCGGATCGGATCGGATCATTCAGATTGATTCAGATTGGTTTATTCCGTGCTTATCCGTTCGTGAAGTTTAAAACCATTCAATACAGTTTCAAAACCAAAACCCTTGTGGAAGCCAAAATCCGACAACGCGAGGCGAACCGGAAAAAATTTGATGCTGAAATGACCACGCTACGATTACGAATAAGGTACAGCGCCGTTCCTTACCTTCTCCTTGTGCTTCTTCCCCATTTTCAACCTCATCATGATGGTTTGATTCTATCCTATAGATGTTGGTGTTGGTGTTGGTATTTATTGAGCCGGAGTGGTTGTTTTAAGCTCGTTGTTCTTTGTCTTGATTGATAGCTTAATCGATGAGCGGTGTTCGTTTGACCAGATCGATCGCGTGAAAGATTGAACGCAAATTGGAACGACCAACGACAAATGCAACGACGGGAGGAAGGTAGCACGGTAGAGGAGTCCCTTAATTTAAATAGACGATTACGTAGACGATTACGTAGACGATTACGCAGACGAATACGTAGACGCTCAAGTAGACGATTACGTAGACGATTACGTAGACGATTGAGTTCATGGAAGTTACGGTCGTACTGGTACGAACTAGTACTGTATGGTGATGTACGTAAGATACAGTACGGTCCTCCATTCAGCTGTTCAACCGGAGATTTTCGTTCGACTTTGGCGTTAATTTGGAGTTAGGGATAATAATAAAATCAAGCAATCTGATTGGCTAATAGCAATAATAGAGGCGTTGATTAACTCTATCGGTAAATTAACGCTAAAGTCACGCCAAAATGAGCATTTTGAACAGCTGTGTCAGGGGAGTACAGATTTCGATATTTTTATCTGTCTAATTAGCCAATCAGATTTCTTGATTCCTACCAAATTTTGGTATTAATCCTAACTCTAAATTAACGCCAAAGTCGAACAAAAAACACCAAAATGAGCATTTTGAACAGCTGTGTCCATGCAGTTCTGTTGACTGGAAACTGTAGGTAACCGTGTACGGGTACGGAACGAGTGATCCTACGCATACGTGCCTACCTTACAAACTACTACTGCTTGTAATGTACCAGTAGAAAGGTTGAGCCGTTAGAGTACAGTATGTCTTATAATCGTCGAGTAATTAGTTGCATCTGGTAATCATTGGTGCAATCTGGGATATGAGGTATTGTCGATTTTACCGCGCCAGGCATGCTACCAGCAGGCAATACTGTGGTCATGGGACAACAGCTTGCTGGCGCTAGGAATTTTGATTCAAACCAACCTGAAAATTTGATGATGCTGATACAAGGAATGATGCTGTTGTTGATATGGAGGCTTGCTGATGCTGACTGATACAGAGGAGGTGCTGCTGATATGAAGGCTTGCTGATACAGAGGATGCTGATATGGAGGCTTGCTGATACAGAGAATGCTGATACAGAGGATGAGGATGCTGATACAGAGGCTTGCTGATATGGAAGTACTGGCACAGAGTAATTCACAGGGGTTGTTCTTACAACTCTGATCTAGTAGCATCTCATGTCACAATGAAAGATATTCTCAATGCTTGGTACTCTCATACCTTGTATAGGTATCATAGTATGTAGTTTGTAGTAGTAGTATATATATATATATATATATATATTTATTTATTTACTTTCAATATTCAATTATTCTTATTAATTAATGTTTATACATATATATATATATAATAATTTGCAATCCAACGGCTACTGAAAAGCTACTTTAAAGCTAGTACTTTTAAGTAGCTTTAAAGTAGCTTAATCAGTAGGCACGTGACTCAGTAGCTGAGATGTGGGTCCAGTAGCTTAAAGTACCTGGTTATGAGTAGGCACATGTCTCAGTAGCTGAGCCGTAGGTCCAGTAGCTTAAAGTATCTGGCTATGAGTCGTTTCCTAACGTCCCTGTTCTCTGTTTGCACTGTTATCCAAACAAATGCCATCCATGTAGGAAATGATTGGCACTAAAATCTGCTTGTTGTCGTCTTTTTCAAACCCTGCTATTATGGTATACTTCTCTTATCTCAGTGTTGTCATCTGCAGTACGGAGGACCACTCATGGATCCAATCATGAGTCCCTGGGACCAAAAACTAAAAAAAAATCTTAAAATTATATTTAACCTTGTGAACTAGAAGAGGCACTAAGATGGCCAGAACCATAGCTTTCATTAGAAAGAATGCTTCTAGCTGCTCCAAGGGGCGGCACCTCCCTCCAAAGAGGTTTTGTGAAGAGGTTTTGTGTAGATGCGACCAAAATTTTGGCCCACTGACAAGCCAAGTAAGGCAAGCTGCTGGATTCAGAGGACATAAAAACAATTGCGTCACAGTTTGGAAGGATGAGAACCATGCCATTATCATTTTGAAGTGCACTGCCAAGCCCGTAGGTTGGGGGGCCTCAATCCCCAACCTGCAGGCAATCAAGGAAATGTGTGCCACACACACTGCCAAGCCAATTATGGCAAGTCTACGCCACAGTGGGCGAGGACACATGTAGTCAAAAAGAAAAATTCAAAAAAAAGAAAAGCCAAAAAGAAAAAAGGAAACATCACACTTCTTTCATCAAATTACAGCTGAGCCCACCCAAAGGAGCAGCTGTTGGAGCATCTTCTTGAAGAAGAAACTGGAACAAATAAATCAATTATTCTGTCACCGCTAGTCATGGGGTTAAAACTTGGGGGTGTTGCCGTTTCTGTCTACCACATAAGACAGGAACAACAACAATCGTGACCGGAAGCACTGGGGCTTCCAGTCCTTGAGAACTGGGGATGTATCCAACTGAGGCAACTGCACTCAGCTGGAGAAATAGGACCGGGGTTGATACTGATAGAGTATTGGCTGGGGTGGGGTTGTTGTTATTGTATTCCAGCACAAATGTTGGAATCAACAACAACATGACCAGAAAACACTTCCGGTCCGTAAATACTGGAAAACTGTAGGAACTTGCATGGATAGCATATTCCCATTGATCTTGGTTGAATGGGAACTGGGGTTGGTGTTGCTGCATTCTGGCAGAAGTGTCAGAACCAACAACAATTGTGACCGGAAAGCACGGAGCTTCTGGTCCTTGAGAACTGGGGATGGATCCAGCTGAGGCAGAACTGCACTCAACTGGAGGGGATAGTACTGGGAATGATACTGATCGATGTAGTATTGGTTGGGTTGGTGTTGTTGTGTTCCGGCATGAATGTCGGAAACAACAACAATGTGACCGGAAAACTTTTCCAGTCTGTAAATAAAACTGGAATACTGGAGGAACTGCATGGAGATAAAGCTGGGGAAGCTGCATGACGTAGCATATACTCCAGGCGAAGTCTCCAGGCGTTGTTCTTCAAAGAATTGGTCTTGGTGGAATGGGAACTGGGGTTGGTGTTGCTGCTTTCTGGCAGGAGTGTTGGAACCAACAACAATCGTGACCAGAAAGGACTGAGCTTCCGGTCCTTGAGAACTGGGGATGGATCCAGCTGAGGTAACTGCACTCAGCTGGGAAATACTGGTAATTATACTGGTCGATGTATCAACTGGGGTTGTTGTTGTTGCCTTCCGGCATGACTATCAGAAACAACCACAACAGGGGCTGGGGTTGGTGTTATTGCATTCCGGCACAAATGTTGGAAACAACAACAACCTGACCGGAAAACTCTTCCGGTCCGTAAAATACTGGAACTGCATGGAGATGGAGATGCTGGGCAATCTTCTTGAAAACTGAGTATGATGTAGCATATACTCCAGGCTTTGTTCTTCACTAGGTCTTGGTTGAATACTGGGGCTGGGGTTGGTGTTGTTCTTGCATTCCAGCACAGATGACGGAACCAACTTCAACACCAGAAGATACCACTTGGTACGTCCAGAGGAACAGGGAATGGATGGATCCAGCTGTGGCAAGCTGGGGGATATTGATATACTTGGAATAGTCTTGGTTACATTGGTGGCTTAGTGTTGAATGGAGCCAGGGAGGTGGATTTGCATTTCCCCTTCTGAAGGGGATGTCACCATGGTGGATTCAGAAGCCGGAAGGAGCTTGTCAGGTAGGAATGTACGTAGGAATCAGTAGGAAATCTAGGGGATAAATTTCACAAGCAAAGTGTAATTTTGTGTGTTTGAAAAAATTCGTTTTGAAAATTATGGGACCAAAAACTATATTATATATATATATATATATATATATATAGATAGTATAGATAGTATAGATAGTATAGATAGTATAGATAGTATAGATAGTATAGATAATATAGATATAGATATAGATATAGATATAGATATAGATATAGATATAGATATAGATATAGATATAGATATAGATATAGATAT